CAAGTTATGTCGTTTCTAATTCAAAACATGTTTGTCGCTTGCAAAAACCCCTTTATGGACTTAGGGAAGCTTTTAGAAATTGGTATGCAAAACTCTCACAAGCTCTTATTCAATATGTTTTCAAACAAAGTCGTGCTAATCATAGCCTATTTACATACTCATTTGGTTCCATTTTTCTTGCCACATTAGTTTATGTTGATGACTTTGTTATAGCCAACAATGATACTTCAACATGCAATAACTTTAAGGGTTATCTTAAACAATGTTTTCAAATGAAAGATCTTGGAAAGCTCAAATATCTTCTTGGTCTGGAACTCTCTCATGGGAACACTGGTTTATTTCTTTGTCAACATAAATATACACTTGATATTCTTAAGAAATGTGGACTATTGGATTGCAAACCCTATGGGTTTCCTATGGAACAACATCATGGACTTGCCACGAACATAGGGGACATGTACTCAAATCCTCCTCAACATAGACGTCTAGTTGGACGATTGATTTATCTCACTATTACCCAACCGAAAATTTCTTATTCGGTTCATGTGTTAAGTCAATTTATGTAGGAACCTCGACAAGCACACTAGGATGCTGCCACAAGAGTTCTTTGTTATCTAAAATCCTCCCCTGGACAAGGTATTTTAATGCTAAAAGATAATGATTTACAACTCATGGGATATTATGATTCAGATTGGGCTTCTTGTCCAACAACAAGGAAGTCAGTTTCTGGATTTCTTATGAAGTTAAAAGCAATTCTAGTTTCATGGAAAGCAAAGAAACAAGCCACAGTCTCCCGATCATCGAGTGAGGCAGAATATAAAGTCTTGGCACATGCAACTAGTGAGATTGTTTGGTTAAGGAGTCTCTTCTCTTTACTTCAAGTTCAATTTGATGGTCCTACACCGTTGTTTTGTGAGAATCAATCAGCACTTCATATAGCGGCCAACCCCGTTTTCCATGAGCGTACCAAACACATTGAAGTGGACTGTCACATCGTTTGGGAACACTTTTAGACAAGGACAATAACTACTAACTATTTATCCACTACACAACAAGGAGAAGATATATTTACCAAGACTTTGGGGCAACGACAATTTCTTTCCTTGTTATCCAAGTTGGAAGTTCAAAATCTTTACTCTCCAACTTGAAAGGGAGTAAAGAGATAAATAAATTTGAATTAATTAATGAGTTTGTTATGAGATGATAATATGATAGGAAGAGGTAAAGTTTGTTTTAGGTTGTTATAACCACCTTATCAGCTTATATATACTCCATGTAATCATTCCTTTTAGACATAAGAATAAGAAATCAATTTTCTTTTATCCAAATTTATTAAAGATGTCTCACTTTCTTGACTCACATCCTATTTAAAAAGCTTAAAAACTAATCTTAAAGAGAAAATGCAATTAAAATTATTAAAAAAATATAAAACAAAAGATAAATGTAATTAATGCAAGGACATACAAATAATAATAAATATTATTATTAATTGACTTATTATCATTATTATTATATAAAATAATAATTGATAGTAGTTGTAGTATAATGTTTATATATGGGTTAGCGTAAAAACTTTTATAATACTTTAATATCAATCAATTAAAAATTTTCTTTCATATAATTTTTTAAGATAATTATTATAAAATTTAATAAATTTATATAATAATTTATGATTAAACGACATTTTGAAATTATTTTGTATCGCGAATATATAACCTAATTTCACTAACAATAAAAATACAAAACTATCATTTAATTTATTAGTTGTGCGACTTGTGGGTGTGGTTGTGAGACTCACCTTTGCAAAAGATTACCCTATATGTTGGGACAAAGGAGTCTGGATCGTAACTGAAATATGAAAATTAGGCAGATATATTAATTAATGCTTACTCATTTGAAAGTCAACATTCACGGATGATGGTATGAGCATACAATTTAGCTATCCATTCAAGATGACTTCAAATCCACTCTAAAAAGGCCCTCTTGGTACAAGGTAGGTACCCTTTTTCCTTGGTCCCTCCTTTTAAGCTAAACTCCATGCAAGTCAATGAACTCTTAATTGTAAGGGTACCCCGTAGTTTACGTACCTCATGGAGCAAATATTTATAATAGATTGCATATTTCTTCAAAAGTCAGCATCCCCCACAAATGATTTTCACTCTCGACCTTCCTAATTAATACGATTCATAGCCTTTTTCTTATCCACTAATCTATTATATGTCCAAAACCTTTCCAATCTTGTTGCCCAAACACAACCCACGAAAATATCAACCCTACATCCGTACAAGTTTATGACATGGGAATCTATCATTATGCCAAGAAAAGACTAATAAGCTAATATTGTAACATTATGCGTGTGCTTAACAAGTTTTCACGAATTTTTCTACTCACCAGTAATTTATGAAAGTTGAAAAAATTAAGCAATATAATGCACTTTATATATTATAAATTAGAATATACTGAGGTTTCTAATTTTTATATTATTTTCATTAAACATACTTAATATCATTTCTCTATTCTTTGAATGTATATTTATAGTCAAAATAATTTTTCTTTCAATTATCTCAAAATACTCTTCTTTTTATCTTTATTTATATTATTTTTTTTAATTTAACTTTTATCGACAAATACTAATTAATTATTAGTGAGTTATATTAATTCTTTTAATTGCACGTCACTTTTAACTTCATCTATTTTATCTGTCTCTTAATAGATTTTTTTAAAAAAATATATCAGCAATTAAAAAATAACATTATATAACAACTTAACTTCTTTGTAATAAATTTAAAATACAATTTATATATTTAAAATATTTTTATATAAATAAATATTTATCTTATACATATACTAGTGGAAAAAAGACTTTTAAAATCGATTATTTTTTACTTTTAAAATCGGTTCTGTAACCGATTTTGAAAGAGCCGATTTTAAAAGTTAGACTTTTAAAATCGGTTAAACAACCGATTTTAAAAGTTAACTTTTAAGATCGGTTATTTTATAACCGATCTTAAAAGTCTAGCCGTGGAAAAAAATTAAACTGGAACGGCCCATTCCAAAACCGGAACGGGCCGTTCCAGTCTGATTAAAAGGCTTAAAAGTTCACTTTGAAGTACGGGGCGTTCTCCAGGGAGAACGACCTGTTCTCCTTGAAGAACTGCCCGTTCTCAATGGAGAACGGCCCGTACTCCTTGGAGAACGGCTCGTACTCCTTGGAGCACGGCCCGTTCTCCTTGGAGCACGGCCCGTTCTCCTTGGAGAACGAGCCGTTCTCCTTGCAGCACGGGCCGTTCCAGCTGCGAAATTTTCCCAAAATGAACCTACAACGAAAATTGAGACGAGAAAAGCATGAGAAAACGAAAAGAGACACACAAAAAACATAAGCAGACGAAAATGAAAACGAAATTTACCTGGAGACTTTAGAAAATGAGAATGATTAAAGAAAATGAGAAAGATTAAAGAAAATGAGAATGGAGGGGAATATAAAAGATTTCTGACAATACTTTTAAAATCGGTTAATTAAGAACCGATTTTGTATACTACATACAAAATCGGTTATGAAAGAACCGATCTTAAAAGTGGCACTTTTAAGATCGGTTATAAAAGAACTGATCTTAAAAGTACTTTTAAGATCGGTTCACCACTTTAAAGATCGGTTGTTTTATAACCGATCTTAAAAGTGTCACTTTTAAGATCGATTCTTTCATAACCGATCTTAAAAGTACTTTTAAGATCGATTCTTTTGTAACCGATCTTAAAAGTATCACTTTTAAGATCGGTTCTTTTATAACCGATCTTAAAATTATTTTTAAGATCTTAAAAGTGTTCATGTTATTTACAAAATTTTCACCGCGTCACTTTTAAGATCGGTTACCTTGTAACCGATCTTAAAACTCCGATTTTAAATCTAACTTTTGCACTAGTGATATATTTCACACAGTAAGATATTAGTTATTTTATTTTTACAGATATTAGTTGTTTTCTTATTTATTGGTTTATCAGATAGGATAATAAAATATCCATACATCGTCAATTTATGAAATGGACATTATATTTATTAATTTATAAATAACAAGATTTTATTAGTTTTTTTTTAATAATACTCCAATTTTTTTTTTTTGGAGGATTATGTTTATACAATTATCTCACTTTCTTTCCTACATGATTAGTTGGACCTTTTGATGTTATCATTCAAGAATGGTAGGATACCAGTTAATCAAGACGCACACAGAGAATCTAATTCAAGAGAAAGATAACATCACATACGGATCATTTACATGCTAAGTGACAAATGTTAGAGTTAATTCGAGAAAAAAAAATATTTACACCAATACACGAGATTAAATTAATTTATTTCTTAAAAAGAAACAAAAGATGGAAGTAGTTTTTTAATTCATAACCGCAACAACATAAAGAAGAAAGAAGCAATTAAGTGCGTTGGTATTCCAACGGTGTATATCGAACTAGCTCGAACAAACGAGGCTACTTGTGTGCTCAACTTTTCCATGACAGTGACAAACAACCTCTCTCTTTACCTCTCTCAACAAGTGAGATCCTTTAGCCTCCACCCTCTTCCCCATTCATTCTTAAAAATTGTACAATAAATATTTATAATTTTCAAATTTATCAAAAATTGTGCTACAAGAAAAAAAATATTGTATATATATATATTTTTTATTTATTTATTTATTTTTGTGGTGTCCACCACCTTGTCACAAGAAGCTGCTTCTCTCGGTGCTCTTCTCTGCCTTATCACTTTATCCACTTCGGCAAACTGAACATTTGTATTTTAATGCCACCGCTGCTCCCATCTTTAATTTTCGCCTTCAAATATTTAATTACATATCGACCGAATCATCAAAGATATAACATACATAATAATAATAGAGCGAATATTTACACAAACCCAATCCCTTGAGCCCTATATTAAAGAACCTCAACCAAAATTCTTGCACCAACGAAAAAAGTTATATTCTCCGGCAATAATAACAAACACAAACTACTCAACGAATATTGAAGCATGATTCCATGAACAAGCTCGCTAAGAACCACTTAATTTGGTAGGTTACATAATATATGAATTGGCAAAAACCCTAGAAAATAACAACACTTGATTTGATTTGATATTACGATGATTAAAAGGACAAAAGATAAATTAAGGGGAAGGGGTTAGCTAGATTGGAAGCCCCAACTCTATGTATATACATATGATATGAGTATATAATGAAAGGAAGACATGGGAAATTGATACTATATATTATTATTGATTGATATTGGATATGATGAATTATGAAATATCAATCTTGAAGGTCTTCGAGTTTGGGAAACTCGTTCAAGTCAGGTTTGAGAGAGTTGGAAGAGGAGTGGGAGGAGGCGTGGTGGTGAAGCGCGGTTTGGAGCGCGTCGACTCTGGCGCCGACTTGCGTGGCTTTTCGGCGAATGGAGTCCGCGGACATGTTCCCTGCGCCGTGCTGCACCGAATCATTCCCCTCCTGGTCGTCCTGGAACAAGAGTTCGGGGAAGTTAAGGCGCGCGCTGGGGCCACGGAGGTAGAAGACGGCGGTGTCGTAGGCGCGTGCGGCGGCCACCGGCGGCGTGTAGGCGCACCAACACATCCCGG